GATAGAAAGTGAAAATTATGCATAGGTAACATTACAGTTCTTCTTGATGACTTACTAACGAGGGATGCACATCAGCCGAGAAGAACGAACCAGCTAAGAATGGGGAAGAGAAGATAGCGGAGATAGATGATAAAAGAGAGGAAAGCTATATGCATATCTCTAATTTTCGCTGGTAACCATGGCATTATCTGATAGCAATATTACAGTGAAGCAAAACGAAAACGGAAGGAGCCACAAGCGGCGGCGCAAGGCTGGTGTGTCTGAGTAGGGGGCGGTTCATAGCAAGTAGGAGAGATTGGAGGAATCTATAGCGCTCTTGTCTCCTAGCTTCAATAAAAATTTGAATCATTGTATTTATTCTGTTCACATCGGAAAGATTACTCGCATTGGAGGGAGGTTAGGTCGGGGGTGGAGGCACCCATTCCTCGGAAGAACTTGGCCCGCTCCGGAACACCTTTGCCACACTTTGATCACGATCTCCACTACTCGATACATAAGAGATCAACTTGGAAGCAGGCAACTGGTGAAACTCTAGAAAATTCAAATGGCAGCACCGGACACCCTCTCAATTAACGTCTACATATTCGGTGATCCAGATTATGACCCGTTCCGTATTCAAAGGCCTAGCAATACAACTGTACAAGATCTGCAACTTGCATTGTGTAGAGAATTCGATCTCTTCTTTGAAGGCATCCACCCATATAGCCTCAAATTATGGAAGGTAGATGGATCTGCTACTGTACCATTCACCCAGCAGACTTTGACATATTCTCATCCCATGAATTAGCTGAACAAATTTATTCATCTCAATGATCTTGAAAAGAAGTTGCCAGCGGACTATGCCGACCTTGCTACAATAGCCACTACAATGAAGAATATAGAAAAGCTGTCAGACCTCTTCGAATCGCCTCCGGAGAAATTTGTTCACGTCATTGTCTATAAACCAGAGAAATTAGTGTTTAATCCTAATCATAAGGGTACACTCGGCAATGACAACAAGCAACTGGTGCCATACTCGTCAGATCTGGGTGACAAGATGAGGGACCTTGAACTGAAGGTTGAAGGTGAGTAATGAACGGCCGGTTGCAATCTACTCCACAACTTCACGGAGATCTTACGCAATATTTGACTGTACTGGGATCCTACAATAGATATTATGCGCTCGCATTCTTCGAGTAGATCATTGGGTACTGCTCTTTGGAGTTCAGCTATACCTGGGCAGATAGCCGCCCCTGTTATGGTCCAACAAATATCTATCGAGACGAGAGGTATGATGGGCTTCTTATTGCGTTACTCTCACTGTCGACTAATTATGAGACATCTTTTTAGAACGCATTCCTGCGATCCACACGGCCATCAAAAATCTTCAAAATAATATTAAATTGTCGGATCCCTCTACTTTCATTGATCTCCCTTTCCCGTCACCACTTACATTATCGACACCTCGGTTCCGGCGCAAGAAAAAAGACGGCCTGTATTATTTCGAGTATATGGGTCGGACTGGATTCAAAACATTAGAAGGGAAAGTGAAGATGATAAGAAGAGAGGGAACAAAAACTGGTATCTACCTCTATGGTTGCGTCGGTTCGGGTAAAACCCACTTGCTTGCTGCACTTGCAGTGAAGCTCATTCAAAGTGGGGAACGAGTGATATATATCCCAGATTGTGGGGCACTCATCGATAATTTCGACAGGACCATAAGAGCGGCCCTGTGCTTCGCATTTTATGATGATCCAGCTACTTACTCAATGATTGAGTCTGCTTATGATGTAGATGCCATATTGAGATTTACGCAAGGTCAAACTAGTGGGATCCTTATTGTTGACCAGATCGACGCTCTGGAGACTTATCCCAATGACCCGGAAGCGACAGCCAAAGAAACAGCCCGACGGCAACTCATACGGATGGTTTCCTCGCACAAATTCATCCATAGCTCCTCTGCAAACATCCTATCCACACAGACTGTTGGGCAACAAGTAGGAATTACGACATTTGTAACGCTTGCTGCAGCAATGAACAAGGTTTGTCAAATCTCCCTACTCTTTATGTCCATTGAAGGATGATCACTCGGATAGAATGAAACAAACAACTGGTATAAACACTATGCTAGTCGTCTTCCAAGCCTCAGTCCAGAAGAACGAGAGACAATCAGGGGTTTGACGGGGAACGTCCCACTCTTCCTTCGCCCTCTCTTCAAGTTCAAGGGGTTAAATTTCGATCAAGCTAAGTTCCTAGAAAGC